CATTGCTCCATCTTCAGTTCCTGGTGTCCAGGAGCTGAGCAGACTGGGCTCCCCAGAACATCCTCCACCCGCTGCGTGCACCTGGAGACTCCAGTTCAAGGAACAGGTGGGTTCTTTGCCTTGCTATCCTGGGGAGACCCTCCCCAAGCTGGGTTCCTGGCTTGCCAGCTTCTTGATACCTGCTTCGCCCAGTTGGGTGGCAATTTTAAAAGTGAGCAGGGCTGAGAACTGGGTTTGTGGAGGTTTTCCCCAATCCCTATCCCAGCCCTTCTGTCTCCTAAATTCCCTCCTGCCCATGCTGCCCAACTGGCAGTGGAGCAGGGCAGGGGAAACAACCAGAAGGATCTGGCAGCCCCCCACCTCTTCCCCAAACTTGGGGCTGCCCGGTTCAGCTAAGAGGCAGGGAGTGGTGGCCGCTTCCTCCCTCCTCTCTCAGACCAGTCTGGAGAAGAAGGGGAACAGCAGAGCAAAACCCCCAGCCCACTTCTCATATTGGGGACTATGGGAGCAGGGGGCATGGTGGGGCAAAGCCCCCTGCTTACGTCTCACACCAAGGACCTCAGTGTATTAGGAGCCAGCAGGGACTGACTGGCAGCTGCTCCCCATCTCCCCTCCCAGTCTATGAGCAGCTGCCCCCCATGCCTTCCCCAGATTGGGTGACCCTTGTCCCTAGGAGGAGTTAAGCTGAGGGGGAGTACAAACTTTTCCCCAGGAGAAATTCTTGCAAGCTGATTTCTACCTGGTTCTAGTGGGCTTATTTTTCTCCAAGAACTCCCATTTTTGGTCCAAGAGAAAGAGCTTCAACATTTTTACTGGGAGAACAGAGACTCTCCTAATAGAAATTGAACATGATCAGGGGACAGGAAAGCAGGCCTTACCATGAGAGGCTGAGAGCCATGGGACTCTTCAGTCTGGAAAAGCGCAGGCTCAGGGGGGGACCTAATGGCTGCCTATAAGTGCATAAGGGGTGTACATCAGGATCTGGGGGAACGCCTGTTCACCAGAGCGCCCCAAGGGATGACAAGGTCAAACAGTCACAAACTCCTCCAAGACTGTTTCAGGCTGGACATAAGGAAGAACTTCTTAACTGTCCGAGCCCCCAAGGCCTGGAACAGACTCCCCCCTGAGGTGGTGCAAGCACCTACTCTGGACTCCTTTAAGAGACATTTGGGTTTATCTTGCTGGGATCCTTTGACCCCACTTGACTTCCTGCCCCTGGGGCAGGGGGATGGACTTGATGATCTTCTGAGGTCCCTTCCAGCCGTACTGAAATTTATGAAACTTAGATATTTGTTTCTCAGACTTCACAGTTATTGCCAGACCCTCCACAAAACAATGGACAAGCTTCGGAAAAACACAGGGCATTCATTCCAACCAGTGTCTTTGGCTGTATGATGAGTCTGGGGAGTGAAAGAATTGCAGGGACCCATAATGGCATACAGTGTACATCCCATCATAGGAAGGAACTTTTCAGGTAGATAATATGGTACATCCATGTCCTGGATTAATGAGGCAAGAGTGGTTAATCATGTTCCCAATCCATCCTCCTTCCAGTCATTCACAGCAGAAGCAAGGAGTCATATGTTGTAAACCCTTCTCATGCCAACTCTTTCTGGAGAAAGAAGAAACAGGGAAAGAAGGTAGAGAAAAACCCTGCGTTGAAACTGAAACCCCTGATGGTATCAAGCAAACAGGATTAAGGAATCAAGCAAGCAGAATTAAGGGAGACCCCCTTTGACCGATGGAACAGCTCTGCATTTAGCAGAAGCTCCTCTGGTAGGTTAGGAAGCTCAAGAAAACAGCAGTGCATGTCTTCTGTACCAGTGTGTCAGTCTGCCAACGCTGGCAAGTCAAGTCCTTTTGTATCCATGGAGCCCATCTCTTTCACTGCTAATCTTTCCACCACCCCAAAATCTGTAAGTCAGTCCCAGCACATACATGCCTCTGTGAGGTATTGTGTAGCATATTTGGGATGCATAAAAGACCTGTGTGCAAGGACCAGAAGTGCCCATGGGCGCTGCCTCTGCTTAGATCTGAGCCAGGTAGCAGCCTTGGTACCAGTTCTCAATTCTTTGCTGTTAGTTACAGCCCCCAGGAGAACCTGACTTGGATAAGTGGAAGGCTCTTCCTTCCATAACTAAACTGGCATTTATACCTCCATGCCTAGACACATGTATTAGGACATATTGTTTGGTCTGAGAGAGGGGAAAAATTGAATAAAATTCTAAAGGAAAACTGTTTTTACATTACATTAAAGGAAAATTTAATGGAACAATTTTCTTAGGGTAGTGGAAACAGTTCTGACCTTTCTTTCCCTGTGTGACACAGATTAACCACCACAGTTTCATCATAACTGAAGCCAGTATCAAATCAGTGGTTTGAGCTAACTATAAGGCTGAGTTTCTATGTAATTATTGCCATATGCAATAGGACTTGTGTCCTGCAAATACTTATTTGGTGACACTGTGTCAGCTGAGAGTTATTGCTTCTGACAAAGGCAGGACTATCTCTTAATGGTATTTTTCCCCTGGCATCTACTTTATGTAGGAAAAAAATGTGGTTCTGGATATGAATGAGATGTTCACAAAGAAGGAACTGAAAAAATGTTGTTTTTGTACATCTGTGGTTTCGCCTCACCTTGTTGAGGTGTCCAGTATTGCCAGTGACTACATGTCTAAAACTCATGAGTCATGCCCCAAAGATCAAAAGGTTTTAAAAGAACTTGAACGTTGTGGCATCGGGAGCCTTTAGAATGTGCATGGGGCTTGGTTTTAAGCTTTTCTGTGTTTGAACTATATGGAATAAAATCTTTTTTTTTTAAAAGGAAAAGTGGGAATGTGCCTCCCTCTCCATGATTGGCAGAGCTGCAGCTTTCAGAATGACGCAGAATAACTTTGCTTGTGATAATTGCAAGAATTGGCAAAACTGCAGTAGCCCCACTGCTGCAGTCTTACTGCCAATACAAAGCAGTTGTTCCTTTCCCTGTTACTCATTCTTTCCAATATGTGGTCTGACACTGTTGTCATTCTTCCACTCCAAGAAGCTTTTGTCTCTCCTGCTCTCATGAAAATACCCAGTCCTTCAGTGAAGCACTTCTGTATTGTCCCTTTTCTCTCTCTCATACTTGTGGAAAGTGTTTCCCCACTCACACCTGCCCTATGATAAGATCCTCCACCTGGATATGTGTTGTACTTCCTGGATGGAAAGACAGCAACAATACAAAAAAATTCTCCTTTTCTGCTTTGGTAGCAACAGCAAAGCAGATTTTTAAAGACATTTGGTATTTTGAAGGGAGGAAAAACACTGGAATCCTGGAAGGGAAAAAAGAGTCATGGAAAAATAAATTGAATGTAATTTGACCTATAATTAACGGTCTTTAAAAAAAAACAGACAAAAAACAAGTTTGAAAGGAAAAGGGATGCTTTTGAATAAAGTACCTTTATGGAAGGATGTGTTTGTGGGTAAAGTGTGTGATACCATACATCTGGGTTCTATTCCTGGCATTGCTAATGACTTTTTGGGTGACACTGGACAAATACCTTAAACCGTCTCTGCCTCAGTTGTCCCGCCTGTAAAACTGGGCTAGAATGCTGTGGGTGTCATGTTCCTTTGTTTTGTAAGTGGAATGAGATGGAAGTTCTTTGAATAGGAGTTGCTCTAACATTGCAGTTATGGTAATGTACTGAATAGTTTTACAGGGTTTATTGTACTAATAAGATTTCATATCTTTTTAGACATTAATTATTTAAAACCTTGTGAACTCATTTAATATATACGATAACTCTGTTCCTTGGGGGTATTCATTTGTTGTCAGGATAGTGCATCCTATTATATTACTGTATTTACTTGAATAGAACACACTTTTTTTCCCCCAATCAGTATTGAGGGGTGGAAAAGATCCTCATCTTACATTCAAATACAGACCGCGTACAAACCTTAAATATGTTACTTATCATTAAACTGCTGGCAAAAGCAGCATGTGCTCAGTAATGTAAACCAACTATGAAGCTGATTAAATGCAGCTAACATGGAGCACAAATACATTGTCCATATTGGGCAAACATCGTGATGAGACCATACTTTTTTTTTGGAAAAAAAAATATTATATATATATAGAGAGAGAGAGAGAGAGAGTTCTATATATACAGCAGCTAGCATAAGCTTTTCTTCACACACCTTAAACCACATTTAAAGCCTGCAAACCCATTACAAGTAACGCACCACGCTCCTGCGCACTCAACCACCATCCCTTCTCTAACCCAATCACAGTCTTTTAGTCCTAGCCCCGATTTTGGGGTTTACATTCTCAATTCATTCCCTGTCGTCACTGTTGGTTCCGCTGCTGCTGTCATAGTTGCTGTGGTAAATCATGGACTCTTGGCTTCGGCCTTATGGAATGCATAGTTTGTATTGTATATAAATAGATGCAAAAGTGCTGCTTAAAAGTGTGTTTATGGAATAGCTATGCTAAGACTTGCAGCAGTTTCATAAAAGGTAACGTACATGAGTTCTTGACGAACTAAATCTAAGGGTACCCCTAGTAATTTGCCTATATGCAAATTACTATAGGAAAAGTCAGTGTTTTGAAATTTGCCCCTCACTTCTGTGTGCTATGGGAGAGAAGGGTCTGGTAGTAAGAGTGGGGAGGAGCTTCAGGGGGAAAGTTGTGTGCGGCAGAGGGTAAGAGGACCACCTGACCCCCCTCAGATTTATTTTCCCTGCTGTAGAGGTGAGAGAGGGGCAGATTTTATAGATCCAGTAATTAGATTTCATACCTGGAATATTTTGACAAATGTATACATTTTCTGTACATTGAATCTACGTATTGGGTCATTGTCTTATGTTCGAGTAAATACAGTACGTAAGACCAGGAGTTCCTTCAGAAGAAGAGCTGGATAAGTTGAGTCAAAGAAGTTTTAAGTGTGTATGTTGAGATGCCATTGTAGTTTAGCTATTGGCAACATTGGTGCACTTTTTTACACATTGCTTTTTTTTTAAAGTGTTAATGCTTGTGGAGGTTGACAGTCCTGGAGACAAGACTGCACAATTCACACAGTAAGAACAGCAGGGATAGCAGCAGAGCAGTTTTCCTTTTGCTACCCAGAGTGACTCACAGCTAATCTAGAGCTGAGGAGGTATTTGCATCTCTGTGGGCTATTGTGGTGGTAATTTTGCAAGGTATGTGTGTATTCACTAGTAGAAACTGAAACTAAGACCAGTGACTCACTTCTTTCAGATAAATAGCTATTATATAGATATAACCTACCAATACAACCACTGATTTGTACTGGCATCTTAAAGATGACAAACTCCATGGAAGTCCCTCCTGAACTTTTCTGTACCCACACACTGATACAATTGAAGAATTGTAGATCACCTTTAAATTCCTGCTTTGTGTTTACAGTTGAACCCTTCAGTTCCTCTCATGCAATTTTGTAAAGCTGTATGCAGCAAGTCTTCTAGGTTTTCAGGGACAAATAATAGAAATTTAGAATATTTGCTGTAATTTTCTTCTGTAGTATAAATCGGCAAATTATTCCATTTTCCTCTCTCCTGGTGCTACATGCATAGTACCAAAGCTGCCTCTGAATGAAGATGGAAATGTAGCTGAGAAGTAAAAATAAGATTTGGATTTTAATATCAAATGTTCATCATTATACATGAAAAATGCATGTACAATTGCAATAATGATGTCCATATGTAAACAGCAAAGAGTAGATTTTTTACATTCCTGGTAATTCTACTGTTAAATAAGGCAGAGATCCTACAGACATGTCAGGACTTTTTTTATCTATCACAACATATCACCAATCTTCATTTTGGGGAGGGAAGATCCAGTTTAAATAATCCCATTTATTTAAATAAAAATAAACCATTCCCCAGCACAATACTCATCTTAATCCCAGCTACTCGTAGACAGCTCTCTACTAGGAAATTCACATTTTAGGGTGTTCAGCGTTATAAGCTTTAGTGATTTAATGTCAAAACATTCTGAACTTTGCTTGACTATAATTTCCTCTCTATAAGGTAACCAAGGTGGGTCCAGGTACATATACATTTCTCAATATTAACTGTTGATATTTGCTAATTGTAGACCAATAGGATCCAACCATTTTGGCAAGCATGCCATAAATTAGCCCTTCATCCTCCCTGTGTGCTACTCTGATACCTTTCATTTGCCTAATATGCTGCTCAGCTTTCTGCTCCCCGTCCTGTTTCCTGACTACTGTGCTTCTTCCCTGATCTGGTGCTCTGCTTTAAGCTCCACGCCCATCTGCTGCTGTGCTGCTTATCCTCTCCTCCATCTGCCCTGTGCCCACACAGAGGCTGCCTGTGCCACTTGTGGCACCTGCATTGCAGGTTGGCTGCCCTTGCTATAGATAACAACTTGACTGACTCATTGGAGCCAGTAAAGCTACTGCATAAGGAGCAAGAAGATATAAGGGAAATGCATGCAAAATATTGAAAAGAGGAAAAATCAGAGCTTAACATTGGTTGAGTTGCAGCAGAAGTAATGAGGTGTGAAATGTGCTATTCCCAACCAATACGCCATGCTGCTTTAATTTACAGAATATATAATTATATAACATTAAAATTCTAGTACATCAGTCTTTGACAAAAAATTGAAATGAAAACAGACAAATGCATGAATCTATTTATAAGACAATTGTTGCAATAGGAATGGGCAAGAACACGAACTCTAAATGTTCTCATCATTTTAAAACTGTGCCCTTAGGATCCTTTATTCTTTGCTCTGACATGCATTCATTTACTGTTGCAAGCCAATTTACTGAAGTCTGAAAACACATCCACCTACAGAAGTCCCCTCCTCAGAATATATTCTAGCTCATCTAAACCAGGATATTAGTGTAAGCCCTTGAAGTTGCTTCCACACACACCCTAAAAGACTCTTGTGGATACTTGGTGATTATGAAGATGCACACAAGGTTAGTTATTCTCAGTCAGATCATTGGTTGGCCCATCTAAACTGGTTTTCTGCCTCTGACAGTGACTCCATGCATCCAGTTAACCCAGGGGTGGGCAGTTGTTTGGGCCCATGGGCCACATAGGGCATTTTGGTGAGCTGTAATGGGCTGAGTCAGCAATCTCCTCCCACCTCCCCCCCATGCCGGCAACAGTTCACCAAAATTCCCTAAATGACACCATCCTGTCTGCCTGGCTGCGCACCCTTGTGTGGGTCCTGACAGCACAGGGCCAGGGGGCAGGACAGAGATTCGATCTGTGCCCTGCATGTCCCTGCCCACAGAACCAGTGCCTGTTGCAGGGGTGTGTGGGCAGCAGATCATGGCTCTGCTTCATGGTTGGCCAGGATGGGGTCATGGGTGGGTGGAGAGCGGCATCCAGGAGCAGAACAGCCAGATGGGGCCAGGGCTGGGATTCCTAGCTAAGTGGTGGCATCTCACAGAATCCAAACAGTAAGTAGCGGCTTCAGGGCTGATGGGACCAGGCATCCGGAGCTGAAGGGCCCCAGAGCAAGTTGAATGCAATGGGGTCCCACCAGCTCTGCAGTCCCGGTGGGGCTCAGCTCTTTGTGTGGATACCCCAACTCCTGGTGCTGTGCAGAGCTGAGCGTTAGCCCAGCCAGGTGTCAGGAGAGAGACCTAAGTGGGCAACATTTGCAGCCCCAGGCATGGCAGGAAAGAGCCAGGCATGGCAACAAGGGGATGCAAGAGCTTGGCAGTGGGTTGAGGCTTGGGAGGCAGTGGGGCTGCCGTCAAACTTGGGGGCAGCGGAGGGCCTGAACTGCAGGGAGGGCAGGGCTGCTTGGGGCACATAGGGTGGCAGGTGTCAGGCAGAAACTGCACAGTGGGGGCTACACTTGAGATGCTGTGCAGTAGGAGCAATTGGGAGCAGCTGCTCCATGAATGCAGCTGGTCACTGCTGGACTTCTGTCCTGAGGCACCCAGTACCGAGAGCCCGTGTCAGGCACTGATGCTGCCTCCAATCTCTGGGGCAGGCAGGCGGGAGTGGGGGCAGGCAGGCAGGAGTGGCTGCCTTGGTCTCTGGGGCTCTAGCTTGGAAGGCAGCAGCTGCCTCTGCTGTCTTGGCAGGGGTGTCTAGCACCCTTGGGCATCCCAGTCTGGGCTGCCTTCTGTTCCTGGGCTGAACAGGACCAAGGGACCCGCCACGGGCCAAACAAATTCCCTCGGTTGGTTGGATCCAGCTCGCAGGCTGTCTTTTATCCACCTCTGAACTAATCAGATGAGCAGTGCTTTAGTGACCATAATTAAACACACCACATCCACCACTCCAGGCACTTTTGTTTTAGCCACAAATACCTTAAAATGGCAAATGTCTTTTTGCTGCATTTGTAAGAGTTGTCAAATGTTGAGTTTTAATGGTGCCCATGATATGACAAGGGAAGAAAAAGAAAGGGGAGAGGAGAGACTTTCTTTCTAATCTCTGCAAGTGAATTTATACTGTGACGTGCTTTAAGTAGTTTATATTCAAAATTTTAATCTTAAATCTGCTAGAAAATATCAACCAGAATCTGCAGTTTTAAATTTTAAAACAGAAACCTGTTGAAGAACTGTATTTCTCAGGAAGCTTTTAAGAGGCTGTTCACGTTTGGTTCATATTGAAGTGGTGCATTGGTTTTTTGCCATATTTTTTCATCTGAATGGTAGATGTAAGTCCCCAGTTCTTGCAGATTTCATAAGAACTAAATTAAAAGGCAAATTAAAGATCAGCTTTCTTTCCTTGCAGTTCTTGGAATAATGTAAACTGAGCCCATAGAGAACTGAGCCCACTGCGTATCACGTTGGTACTCCTAGGGGAGAAGGGTATGGACAGAATATATTTCTAGTTAGAACAAAAGAAAAACCATGGAGTTTCTGCATCAAGAAGGAGACAAACCTGTTTAGTTTCCTGAACATTTAGGAAGTTGTGCTGAAAGTATATTCATTTTGGTAGTGTCTTTGGCAGGGTGGGATTAAATAAACTGAATTTTAATGACTGTTACAGGAAAAAAAAATAACCACAAATGCTAATATATTAGCAGCAATTAACAAGATTAGTATGAAAATAGAAGAGAACCCCCTTCCCCCCAGTACAAAAAATAGATAAGATATGGTTTACTATATGGTATTTTTTGATGTAACAGAGCTGATAGGGCTGTTTAAGTATGAAGTTTAAGAAACACAATCCCTGGTCTTAGAACAGACGTAGGATCAGTACTTGCAAGACACAGCTGTTAACGAAGGGATTTATTCATTTCTGCCAGAAATGTTATGCATCCATTAACACTTCAGAAGCAAATTGAAGAGGAAGAAATTGGAGGATACCCTTATGTAAAGAAAAACAATTAATGTGGATATGTTATAGACAGATGAGAGGACTGTATTTGCAGCAAGGGTTGGACGAGTAAGCGACTCATGTGATGAAAAGTATACTAAGAAAAATGATGGACCCGGTTGTGTTCCTGGACTTAGTACTTAGGTCTGTGGGCAAGGAGGTGGTTTGGATTCTGACAAAACTATTTTATTTTGTTGATGTTTAATACTTGTGGACGTTCAGTTTGTGGCCCACCTGGCACACACTACAGGATACTAAGGTAAGACACCACTCCCCAGAAAGAGATAAAAGATGCCAGTGCTGGTCTATAGTAGCTTTACTTTTATCTTCAACAGAAGAGAGTTGCAAGGGAAAAATGCTAAGCAAAAGACATGAGAACAGACTCAGAGCTCCCTTTTCTGAGGTGACGGCTCAGTAAGGTTCTTGTTTGTGGAAAATAATTTCATTTCAAGATGAATACCAGGATTCTTTTGTAATTTGGACCTTGCTTCATATCTTTCACAGCAACCAAATATCATGTGTCTGTACCTCCTACATCCAGTCAAGTTTGTGCACTTCAGCAGTGGTAACTTAAACATATAAAGCATGTTATTTGGAAGTCAGTATTTGTTTCACAGAAGAGCTTAATACTTGGAAGCCATTGCAGTGGTGGTATAAAAGATAGAATATGCGAAGTACTATAATGAGCAGTCATGGAATCATAGAAATACAGGGCTGGGAGGGACCAGAACTAGGACCACCTAATTTAAAGCGGTAGCTAGGAAATCTGTAGATTTTTCCTCCTTGCTCTTAACACCGGCTTTCTCTGCATTAACTGTGCAGTAGCATATGGCAAATGTTGACCTATTATAATACTA